GTGGACCGAAGCCCGCCAGCCTGGGCGGACGCCGAAGTTTCACCCGGCGCCGCCGACTGTGCCGGAGAAGAGGACGACGGCGACGCGAGAGTTCGCCGCCGGCGACAAGGTTCCTGATCCTCCTCTTGGGGAGGCGAGGAGGCGATCATGACTTCGATCCAAAGATCAAGGAGGTGGACGGTGACCTTAATCGGATAGGACAACGTCCGCACGCCATGACCGCCCTCTCGAAGGTGGCTCCACGATCTCCAGCATCATCTCAGAGGGAAAGAGGGCAGGATCAGAGCACCAAGCCTTCACCACGAACACATCACGGCGGTTTGCATTGTTAGGATGCACCCCATCAATCCAGCAGACCTCGTCCAGAAGAACATCAGCGGTGGCCAACTCCTAAACATGGGCAGGGATGCCCTCGAGCTCCACTTCCATAGCCACCGACAGACTCGCCGCCGAGGCCTGGAGAAACCTTGTCCAGCTCATGACATGAAGCCGACCAGTGGTGGTAACGATGGGGCAGCCTCCGTTGTAAACGATGCCAGCTAGCTCCTCATTAGGCAAGATCAAGATGAAGCTGGACGGACCCCATGGATGCAGGGTTAGCCGAGCTTCATCGATCTCAAACCTATGGGCAACCGTGGCACGAATGAACTCTAACTCGCCGTCCCCTGATCCCCCCAGCAAGGTGATGACCAGGGCGCATCTCAGGGCATCCTCGTTGCGGGAGAGATGGTCCGACCGGTGGAGAACGCGTCTTGGGATGACCGGAGCCCCAGCGGCGCCAGACAGTGCAACCTCGGCGTTAGGCCCCGAGGAGGGGTGGCTAGGCACATCTTCCTCGCTAGTGTCGTCGTCCGCATTTGCCGCACCCATCGCAGGACGCGTCCGACGTGGCCGCCGCCGCCGCTTGCGCTTGTGCTCACTTCCGCTGCCCGTGGCCACCGGAGACTGCATGGCAGGTGACCGCGTCATCACCGAGACCTTCGGCCGCCAAATCAGCTGCCTGCAGGCGTCCAGAGGCCAGGAAGGGCAGGCACCAAAGAGATGCCCCAGACCCCGGCAAACGAAGCACCGTGGACGGGACCGGCAGCTCGCGGCCTTGTGAGCTGTGGACAAACAGTTGAAGCAGCGCCCGCGAAGATCCTCCGGGACAGGCCGCCGAGGAGGGAGCTCCCGCCGGCGGCGCTCGCGGCGGGCACGTCGATTCTCCGAGGTTACCCAACCATCACGGTCAGGGATAATCACCCCAGCAGGGCGAACATGACGGTCACGCGGCCTGAGGACGATCCGGGTCGGCGCGCGAGGACGAGCCGACGAGGCAGCAGCCGCGGACGGGGCAAGCGCGCGAGGAGCAGCCGCCGCAGACGGGGCAGCGTGAGCGGACAAGACGCCACCGCTCAGGAGAACGTCCTTGTAAGAAGGTGACCCGTCGTCGGAGAAGCACTCAGAAGACGGGGAGGCGTCCCTCCAGTGCTGGTCCTTAGAGCGCCCTGCCGTGACGAATGGGGATCCCTCAGGCGCCGGAGAGGGAGGGGGTTGGGTGGTCGGCGCGCCCGGAATAGGCAGCGGCGAGCGGCTGGTGGAGCAGGAGGACGGGAAGGGGTGGGCGCCGGGAGGTGGAGGGGGAGCAGGAGCGGTAGCGACGAGAGCCATCTCACTCTATATCAACCCAATTGCTGGGAGAATCATTTCCGTTTTTGTTTTGTTTTCAGGTAGTCACAACGGGAAGTGCCAAACTAAGTGGGGTAACAACTACCAACATAGTACAGAGCTATTTCAGTCTTGCAATGAGCTTATTGCAATATTCTTGGCATGACTTTTTGCATGATGTTAATCATCCATGTTGTCATGAACGGTAACCTTACTGACTTATGGCATAATGTGTGGTGTGGGGAAGTTGATTTTCGTATTAAATCTTGCTCTGCTCAGCATTTACACTGATCCAAGTGTTGAGCCTGCTACATGTTGCCTTGTTGGGATGTGCAAGATGGAATTTTGTTGCATAATGCTTTTGCAGAACTTTTTATCAGACCGATCAGGAGTGTTGGGGCTCTAGTAATCTGATTGTGCATATATTGTTTATTTCAAAAAAAATGTTTATTTGGCATTGGAGCAGAATGGTTGCTTCGCTATTAGATTATTATACATGTTCTTGACTTCTCTAGGAGTTACCGATAGATGATGGATCTGGAAAAGATGCATTCCTCATAAAATAAGAGTTTTCTTTGGTTTGTTTTGTAGGATAGGATTCATAGGGGAACAACTGGAAACAAACAATTGCAGCATTTCTAATGTCCTATGGCCAAAGGCTTACAAGAATTTTGGGTGGTAGAGGAGACCATGTGGGGTGAATAATTTTATTTCTAACTCTCAGGTTCAGGTTGCAACTTAAATTGGGGCTCTTTTGTTTTGTAGCTGTGGTGTGATTTGCATGGACCATTCAATACAAGATGGTTCTTGAGAAGATTTTCTTGCTGGAATCTAACTCACATGTTTTGTAAAATTCTCTTCATTCTCATGTGCTGGAAGCTGCTACCTAAAGGGAAGGAGGAGGAACTTGAAGTCCTGTGAAACCTGTGAAAGATTTTCACAGGCCTACTAAATGCAAAAGCAATTCCTGAATAGACATCCTTTGTGTTCCTCCAGCTAAACAGGTATGAACATGTTTTTGCATCAGAGGTTTGGAGGTTTGCGTTGATGAAAACAGGCTCAGGCTTCCATTGAATAATAGTATGAACATGTTTTTGCATCAGAGGTGCTCCTGAGCCTGTTTTCACCAATGTGGAGTTTGGAGGGGATTTTTCCGAGTTACATTCACTCTAAGACCTCTTCGCATTTTTTTTGTTTTTAAAAGATAATCTCTCTGCAGCGTGTTTGTTGCTGCAACTGCCAGTGATGCTAATTGCTAATTTGTCTTTGATATATACTTCCTACTACTTTGGATGGCTGAAACTAATTCTCTCAAAAAAGATTTTGAATACCTTGATAGGAAGCACAATGTGCTCTCAAGTCTCGAGTGCACCAGCAGGATCGTTCGATTTGATCTGGGACCATTTCCTTATCTCTCGTTGGAAATTCAAGTTATACAAATACAAATTTTTGAAAGACAAGTTTATACATATTACAGTGTTCTCTACTTTGCTTAGTATTATTTCGTCCACCTGTTATCAATAATCTTATTCTTATGCTGTGCTCCTTTTTTATTATTTCAGAAAATGTCAACTGTTCCGGTGCCAGTGTTGAAGGTACTTCTTTGGAACGTGAACAGCTAGCTAGCTGGACCAGCATTGAGCTAGATACCAATGCTGCAACGTCAGGATCAACTGAATTATCAGTCTAGTAGGCGACCTCAAGAAAACTAGTTAGGACTTAGGAGTCACTTTTTCATTCTTAATTTTATCACCCAGGTGTCCTGAGAATTAAAAAAAACCGCATGACAATGTAGAGCAACAGTATAGTGATTAAAGGAAGACAATGTGTTTGCACTCTGCAGAAGTACAGATCAGCTACACTGGACCTTACTACTGACGAAGTGGCAAGGCTCTAACGGTTAACAGAGCTGCAGTTCAGCTTGCAAATTCAGGTGTCGTCGAAAATTCAGGTGTTGTTCTAAATGGAGAGTTAGTTTTTTCTGTGAAAATAGTACGGGGTGTATATGCCGTGATTCTTAGGGCGTGATTGGTTTGCTGTTGCGCCTAGCCTGTTTCGCATCTGGGAGCCAGGCTCCCGCTGGCCAGGCTCGGCAGATGCAATACTGGTCGATTGGTTATTTGTATTCCTCCAGCTAGGCTGCGAATAGATGTTGTTTGCTTGCCTGCATGATTAAATGTCGCATGGGATAAAATGTTCAAAACAAGTGTCATTACAATATTTATTTTATATAAGTATATTTTAATAACTCTTTCTTTACATCATTAAACCTTAATCATCTTTGAAAAATACTAATATCATTTAATATAAGTTAATCACCTTATTAATACTATCATTAATGGAAGACTACCAGCATGCAGCGAACGGAAACGGATTTTATCCTCGTTTCCCGCGAGCCAGGCTCCGCGGTGCCGCTTGCATGCACCAGGCCATGCTCACACCGATTACGAAGGGCCTGCCCGATCACCCCCTTAGGCACTACTTCTACACCCACTTCTCAAGTATCCACGGATTCCGCGCTAAGCGACACACTTAGCTTATACATCCATTTAGGAGGATTTTGGAGCCTGCTTTGTTGGGCTCCAAAACTTATCCAGCAAAATGAGGGCAAGCTCTTATACATCCATTTAGGAGGATTTTGGAGCTTGCTTGGTTGGGCTCCAAAACTTATCCAGCAAAATGAGGGCAAGCCCATAAACTTTGGCACTTATTTGGTTCAATGCCAAAAAAATTTGGCTACCACGTTTTGGCACCCAATCAAGTGGCAACCTTAAGTTTTTGCCTAGATTTTGGTAATTTTTTTTGTCACACCCACATTTTGGCGTGCTCTAGATTTGGCATGGCAAATTTTGAAGCCAAACCAATCAGGGCACACTTTGGCATGCTCTAGATTAGTCCCAAAACAGCTCTGACTTCTAGTAAATCTTTATACCTTAGCAAAAACCAGTGCCTGATATGAATTAGAAACCGGTTAAACTAAATTTTCCCAAGAGCTGGAGGAGCCAACGATTGTGCGTGATGAGTAAAATAATTTACCCTTTGAATATGGAGGAAATTACCCACTAGTGCTACTGATTTACCCCCATCCAATTCTTCATCCAAAATCCAAACTCGTCTCCGGAGGACTGGAGCATTCGACATTTTTTTTCCCGTCTCGTGCAGCAGATTGTTGATGGACGATCAATCATGCAGTCTGGGCGGGCCGAAATTGGGCTGGGTCAAGCTGGACTCGACCATATTTTTTTTGGCCGGGCCCGTTTCTCTGTCTATAAACTGGTCGTCGTTATCCGAAGGTCGCCGTGTGTCCGGTCGCCGTCTCCGACCACGGGGCCGTCCCACGCAACGCAGGCGCAATGCCGAGAAGTAAAGAGCGCAGCTCAACCTCTGGCTCTAGCTCGCCCAGAAGCCCGCGTCTGCTGCCGGAGTCAAAGCCGCACTCCGCGGCCGCGGGGCTCGCCGCTCGGGCCGCCACCTCCTCCAACCCTCACCTCCGCGCGGCGGGGGATCTGGAGCGCCCTCCGCCACCACCGCTATACCTCACCACCATGCCCTCCCCGCGCACTCCGCGGTCCAGACCGGGTGGCTACTATGGCATATGCAGGCCATCTCTTGCTCGCGTGCACGCCCCAACCCCTTCCTCCATGTCATCGGGCGGCGGCGGCGGCGGCGGCGATCCACTAAAGTCCTTTGCGAGTCACTATTCTGAACGGAGGCAGCAACTTCTTGATTTCTTCATCGAGTAAGCACTTTCCCTCATTATTAGTTACCTTTTTGAATTCAAAGTTTTCCTCTCACTTTAGTCAATATTTCAGATACACCGTCAGCTCAGTGAAGACTGCTTTCTACAAGGTACAAGCTGCTTCAGCGAAGGAGACAGGAAGTCCAAGTTTCGAGATCCATTTCAACCACATTCTCGAGTACAATAAGGAATTAGCTTTTGCCATCTTCAACTCTCAGGACAGGTTTTGATTGCGTCTACCAGTTCCCTTTTTTGTCTACTGTTTTTGGTATTTCAGTGTGCATCCGTTGTTTCCTTTTCAGTGAATTATCTCCTTGTGTTTGTCAACCAGTTGCCGAGTTGTTGATATTGTAAAGTTATAGTAGGATGCTGATGAATCCAATAGCATTAGATAGGTGCATGTTTCAAATGTGAAAAAAGCAAGATCTACTTTTGAGTTTTGATCAACTCAACTATTGCTAATATAGCTTACTTTATTCAAGTCCAATACCATGTAATTTACATCTGCTAATACACCATTCAAATGTGAAGCTTTCCCCATTCGCCAAACAGCTCAGGTGGTCTAGGGAGTATACTGGTTATTGACTTCTTGAAATCTTTGTGTTGGATGTAAATTTGTGCTGCTTTGGCTTGTTTGTTAGGACAATAATCATGTATCTTATGTGCAAGTGCAAATATGTTATTCCATGCAGATTCAATGAATGGGTGTATCCAACTGTATACCAGTTTCTAACCAGTGAAGGGATTGCGAAGAATGTAGTTGAAAGAATGAAAATTACTTTCCACACAATGCCCCTGAGGTGGGTTATCCTGTATTTAATCCACAGACTATTTCTTTGAGCACAAATTATTAACTACTGGGTTTCTTCTTGTGTTTTTGTGTGTCTAGCATTGAAGATTTCTTACGGGAACATGGGTCATTGATCAGCATTAAGTCAATCTTTGGTGGGAGTTTCAAATTATGTGTTGCGCATGACATCGGGATGGTATTAGTCCATGGATTTCTGGAAGAGATCTTTAGTAACCACAGAAAATGTCGTACTTGGAATGGGGGATTTAACATAAGTGACATGGTGGTGGTTAACTCCACGGAGTGTAGGATTACAAAGAAGTCAACGCGAGGTGGATCTCACTGTACTGCAAAGGATCTGCACAGAATTGGGGAGATTTTCATGCCAATGTTCAGTTGTAATAGAGGAATGGCATTATACTTTGATGTACTGCAAAAGGATTTGAGCATGGCCAGTGAGAATGAAGTGAAAGAGGAATGGTTTTGGGAATACCTCCTCTCACATCCGGCACTGAAACAATCAATGGCACGTTACTACCTGGAGTGTGGGTTGCAGTATGCTGCAATAACCTTTGAAGGCTCAGGCATGCCAATCCAATCAATTCTAGGAGTATACAGTGACTGGAAGGCACTTATCCCAATTGAACTTACTGAAAACACACCTATCACAGATTTCAGCTTGTATAAGGTTTTCTGGTCCAAGTGTGAACCTACTGAAGGTGTTGATGATCCTTTTGCGGCTACAGTTGGGGGGCTGCTTGCATACAAAGGTAACTTCCTGCAACATGGTGATGAATATGTCAAGGTGCATGACCACTCCGAGTTAGAGCAATTTGCAGCAAAAACTTTTCCCCAAGCTCTACCAAACATTCTGCGGAAGCTATTGAGGGACTGCAAAACGCACATGAATGAACCGTAAGTGTTTCTTTTTCGTTTGTTGTGGCCATGTGCCTTTTCTGTTTCCTATAAACATTCTTGTTTTTCTCCTGCATGAATGGTGTAGGCTTATGGTGCTCTGGAAAGCTTATCATGCCTCAAGAATGGGCAGTGATGTTAACACTGAAGGGAGAACTGGCATCTGTATTTCATTCAGTGAAGAGGGCAGGTGCGAATCTTTCACTCTCAGATGCAATTGGCATACCTGCTGTGGGATACTCTTTTTCTTTCTTCTGTTTTTCATCGATGAATGTTAAATTCTTGGTTGTTTTTCCTTAATTCTGTACGATGGAGTTTCCATTTTCCTGATGAACTATTGATGACTAATCATGCAATGTGCTTTTTGGTCATCCCACTTATCCGCTTGTTGCACTCCATGTCCACCTGTGCGCTTTGGGTTCATTAGGCTATGCTACCTGCATGCTAACTGTTCATTACATACCTGGTGATGCTGAATTGTTGATTATGGGAATAAATAGGACTTATCAGTTTAAATTGTGCTTAGAGGGTTCTTTTCTGGAAACAGATAGGCCATAACATGCAGTGTGCAACTTGGTTATGTAAAGTATGTTTATTTGAAATCATTCTCCCGCCAAGTAACTTTTTTTTAAGAGAGAATTCCTTATTTGACACTGGGAAAATAAGTCGTTCCTTTCTTGGCCCTGAAATTTTCTTCGTTCCCTATTTGACACTCACTTCAACTTTCATCCCTAATTTGACACTACCGTCAAATCCGTTAGCTAACGGTGTTAACTGGCTGTTAAAAAGACGTTTTTGCCCCTAGAAAAAAAAAGCGGCGAAGCAAATTTGAGAGGAAAAAAAACCTGCGCCTTTTTTTGCAGCTGGGCGCATGCATCAGAGGCGGGCGCAGGTTTTTTTTTCCTCTCAAATTTGCTTCGCCGCTTTTTTTTTCTAGGGGCAAAAACGTCTTTTTAACGGCCAGTTAACACCGTTAGCTAACGGATTTGACGGTATTGTCAAATTAGGGATGAAAGTTGAAGTGAGTGTCAAATAGGGAACGAAGAAAATTTCAGGGCCAAAAAAGGAACGACTCATTTTCCCAGTGTCAAATAAGGAATTCTCTCTTTTTTTAATGTATCCTTGTTTATAGTTTTCTATATTTGTAAGGTGTGTATACTTTTTCTAACAGTTATCTTTGTTTCTTTAGTACATGCTATGGTAACATTTAAGAAATCTTAATTAGGTGTTCACTGCTTTTTTACATTTTTAGTTACATTTTTTTTTCCTGTTTATGACATGTTATGGTACAACATTCTCGCTGACTTGTTGTGAAGTATAAACACAATTGCCAATTTTTGTTCCCTTCTGCGAGTTTGGTTCTGAGTTTGTGGCTTGTATTTGCTTCCGTTTCTCTTTGTTAAGAAATGCCGTGCAATTCTCCTGCGTTCTAGAAAAAAAGTTGGAGTAGGCCAGGCCAGCTTAACCCATTTATAACTGGCCCACTGTCTTCCAACTTCTCCCTATGAATCATAGTATCAGAAAAAATAGACACAGCAAGTTGAAACTTTTCCATGCTTTGTATCAAGGCCTGTATTTCTGGAGGGAGTAAGGCTCATTTTTTATCCTTTTGTCTTCTCTAATTAAATGTACTGCAGCTTATGTTGGCATATGGTTGCTTAGGTGATGCTAGGAAACTCCATAGCAGCAGATTGTGAACAGTGAACTCTTGACCAGTACCCACTCCATGTTGCACAATATCTAAATGCTACTTATGATAGTATCAAGCATTCATATTTAATTTGATTGCGGTTTCAATCATCAAAGTCCTATTATGTAATAATAGGCTTGCCATACACACTCTGATTGTTTAGTTCTCCAGGCAGTAGACAGTTATGGGCATTGCAATATCTTTGCAGTTGAATGAGGATCAGGACAGCTTGATTTGGAACTGTTATTTCATCTGGGATTCATACTCTTCAACATTATTTCATTACCTTTAGATGTGTGCTTTCTATTCATCATCCATCTGTTTGGAAGTTATCTGTTCCTCCAATAATCAATGTGTTGTTCTTGTTGTTATCTAGTAAATGTTGTCACTTTGGGAGAATAACCTGTTAAGAGAAGGGATGCCTCTGATCAAACATTGTTTTTAGGGAAATACTTCATATACAACCCATTAGTACAACTCTGTTACAACCAAGTGATTTAACCTTTTGATTCATAAATTAGCAACTAGTGTTAAAGATGTAGTCTCTGAAATCTTTAACAAGCTAGTGGCTTGAGACTTTGAGTCTGGCTCACTGCTGGAATAGCCTCAAAGGTAAAACTCACTGCATAATATATACGTCTAAAACTGAGGAATGACTTGTGTTTTCAGGGTCTCGGTGGACAAGTCTGAGGGCTTGTTTGTGTAGAAGAGGATACGACCCACAGAATGCTGAGGCACGGTCACAAAAAAAGAAGAAGAAAACGAAAAAAAAAGAATGCTTTGGAGCTTGTGGAGGTCCCTATGCCTACCAGTACAGTATTTTTGTAGCATGTGGTTGTAAGAGGGATATGTAAGGTGCAGCAATTTTTCGTTGCTCATGTGGACCTTTGTTATGTATACATACTGGTACTGTAAGAAAAAAAGAAAAAGAAAAAAAAAAGAAAAAGAAAAAAAAAGAATGCATTGGAGCTTGTGTTATGTAAGGAACTCATTTTTAGTGGAGGTCCCTATACCTACCAGTACAGTATTTTTGTAGCATGTGGTTGTAAGAGGGATATGTAAGGTGCAGCAATTTTTCGTTGCTCATGTGGACCTTTGTTATGTATTTTGAAGTAGCGTGGCAGAGTTGTATCCCCATGTATACATACTGGTACTGTAAGTGATCCTGTTATCGTATGTACTGTAAATATGGGAATTTATTCTTGAACGTCACTCCCCCGATCATCCCTAACATCTGCCAACACTCCTGATTGCACTGGTAAGCTCATCGGATCGCAAAATCTATTTTCGGCAATGTTCTGAAAATTTTGGTTGTATATGTTGGTTCATGTTTAGTTGGGTTGCAAACCGATTCAATTCATTGTGTACGTTGAAAAAGTCATTCTCACAGTTGTGGCTATCATTACCATCTCTATATGCTAATTGTTAACCCAAGTCCATTCGGGTGGACCATGGAATGTGCTATCACTGCTTTTGGTAATATTGTTGTCTATGCTCGTCCTGAGCTCTGCGTACTCCTGTTCGCTTCAGCTACTTGCGGCTGCGGCTGCGGCTTATTAATATTGTAGTTGGCTGCGGCTGCGGCTTATTAATATTGTAGCTGGCTGCGGCTGATAAGTCACTAGTATAACAATTTTACCCAGTCAATGCCATCTTTGTTTTACTCACTACTCACCGGCTTCTCCCTTGTCATTAGAATATCTTCCGCTTTGCCCAGACTCCTTTTGACGAGGGAGTACTGACTTGTGCTAGTGTGTGTGCATTGGTTGTTAGTTGATTAATAACCTTATGATCAAGAATCCTTTAATGTAATGTCATGTAGAATGAACACCGCCGTAGCTCAGTTTTTTTTCTCTGAGATGAGGTTCGGACTCCGTTTCCATTCATCACAAACGGAAATTCCAGATGTTTGTAACAGCCACAGCTAACATGGGAAGGATAACAGACTCAAGACACACCTAGACGGCTAGACCGATAGCCTGATTAAAGCTAGAGAAACTAGGCAAGGGATAGAAACCTGGACACAGAATAACCAACCAAGCACACTAGCTAAGCAAGGCAGCAATTCAGCATCAGCGCCCAGACTCCAAACCAGCCACGGAGAACAAAAAGAACTGACAAACTAAGGTTTTCACACATCATGTAATGTTGCTACATTTCAGCTTGTAGCTTGTAAAGCAAAAAAATCCAACTTAGCTGACAGAGGGGCACGACTCCTTAAGAACTTCATGGCCTTAGCTGACAAGGCTATGAATAAAGATTTTAATCTTGTAAAGACAACTACTATAGGACTTGAATTTGTAAAGCAAATGGCAGAGCTGGAACAAGAAGAATCAAGCACCTTGATAATGCATCCAATGCGCTAATGCTCCACAAAGAGGAAACCAAACATCGTTTCAGTTTCGAGAACAGATAATCTGGATTGAGAATATTAACACAACATCAATAGGCTACTTAATATGAATTCAGCTTCAAGCTGGTGCTAAATTACCTTGCTTTGGCAAAGCATTGCAGACGCTTTAATTATAAAAGGTGGCAACAAAACAAAACATTTGACAACACCCAAGAGGAAAAAAGAAAGAGAAACCCATGGCAAACCTTCCAGTCATTAAAATAGGCATCAGAATAACAACACTACCAAAGGGGAACACATGTCCATTTTCAAGCAACCCCATAACTAACTACAAGGCTATCTGATTGTACCAAACAAACAAGTAAAATGTGCAGTTTTTATTTGTTAAAATAAAGCAAGACAGCATTCAAAGATCCCGACCGCAACTTTTCCCTCCGACCGCCAAAGATCCCTCTGACTGCCACTCCCACAGACCGGGAACTCCCACAAGGAAAGCGACCGCCAAAGATCCCTCTGATCGCCACTCCATCCTCTCCGCCGTCTCTCAGATCCTAACAACGATACCATGTAAAAGGCGCAAGTCAGGCTCAGCCTTGCCCTCCAGCTCGCCAAGCGCGCGCGTGTTGCTCGACCTGAAGGCAGACTCCCCGGCGGCAGATCTTGGTGCTCCGGGTAACGTAGGCGGGCCTCGCAACGGCGGGGCTTCGACTCAGGCGCACCATCCACCGCAGTCCCCTAGCCCCACCGCGTCGCCGACCCTGCAGCGCCAAGTTCGATCGATCCCTTTGGCGGCGGCGAGCCCGCCCAGCAGCCGCTCCTCGTCTACTTCCTCATCGGGACCGATGTCATGCGACTCAAGCCCAAGTACCGTTAGGACTAGGAGCTATGCGGATGTCCTCAAAGGTCCATCACCAAATCAAGACCCCTATGCCAATCTTTCGTGGTGATTTCTCAATTTTCTCAAAGACAAGTAAGCACTATTAGCCTCTAGGATCCTTCTAGGTGTAGATCAGAGGATGTTCGTGTTACTAGTTGATTCAATTAGCCCTAGAATTAGCTTCGGGAAAGGGAGACCGAGGGAAACAGAGAGAGGGAGGGAGATGTAGGAGCATCTGACCATCGGGCTTGGTGGATGACGAGCCGTCCATCACGTTCCCGCTGCGTAGGGTGTCGGAGTAGTGGTTGCAGGGCAGCCCAGCGTCGTATCAGTCCTCCGGCTTGATGCAAAGGCGGTGGTGGCGCTTTCCGTCGCTGGCAGCGCCCCCTCTGTTGATCGGCTTAGGGTTTGGGATGTCGGTGGGGTGTCTGGCGGCTTAGGCGAACCTCATGCTTGGCGCCCCGGCCCCCACCTCCCTATTTATGGCGCTGTGCGACAAGGGCCCACCAACCATGATAGGGTTGGGCGCCCTCGATCAGGGCGCGGATCCAAGGGCCCGCCCAATTGGTGGAGATCAATTTAACATTCTCCCCCTTGATCTCACTTATAACTTAAACTTAACTTACTTACTTTCTCTTGTTTCCATTCCATCACAAATTAGTGCATAGAGTGTGCCTCATCGTCATGGTCTGTTGCCATTAGATTAAACAGCTACAATGCACCTCTCTGTTTTGAAACGGATTCTTAACTAGGCCCTTCTTATCCAGGAATCATAGACTTTCCCTTAAACCCATATCGTCTAAGTGTTCTCTGAACACGCTGGGTGGTAAGCCTTTTGTAAGCGGATCCGCGAGCATCTTTTCTGTTCTTATATGCTCAAGACTAATTATATGATCCCGGATTTTATCTTTCACAACATAATACTTTATGTCAATGTGTTTGGCAGCACCACTTGACTTATTGTTGTGAGCATAACATACTGCTGGATCATTATCGCAGTATAACTTCAGTGGCTTATGTATGTCGTCTACCACTTTCAACCCGGGTATGAACTTCTTTAACCAGTTCACCTGCCCCGTGGCCTCATAACATGCTACAAACTTGACATACATTGTGGAGGATGTAGTGACGGTTTGCTTTGAGCTTTTCCACGATATAGCTCCTCCTGCGAGAGTGAATATGTAACTTGACGTGGACTTTCTATCATCTCCCGCATAATCTGAATCTGTATACCTCTCTATGTGCAGGGAATCAGATCTTCTGTACGTTAGCATGAGACCCTTTGTACCTTGCAGGTACCGTAAAACTTTCTTTACTAATTTTCAGTGTTCTATTCCTGGATTACTTTGATATCTGTCAAGTAACCCAGTAACAAATGCTAAGTCAGGACGAGTACACACTTGAGCATACTGTAAACTTCCGACAGCTGAACTATATGGAACCACTTTCATTCGATTGATCTCATATTAGTTCCTGGGGCACTGAAATTCCCCATATCTGTCGTCCTTGACTATGGGAGTAGGTGAAGGCTTACACGCATGCATACTGAATTTCTTTAGTACCTTTTCTAAGTATACCTTTTGTGATAATCTAAAACCTCATTTTCTCTATCTTGGTGAATTTCTATTCCTAGAACGAATGAAGCTTCACCGAGATCCTTCATATCAAACTTTGAGGACAAGAACTTCTTTGTTTCTAGTAGTAGAGCAACATCACTGCTGGCGAGCAAGATGTCATCCACATACA